CTAACACACACACACACACACACACACACACACACACACACACACCTGTATATTTATTTCTATATCTAAATATATTGAATATATGAGTTCACACTAATATCTCTAATTTTAATCCAACACCAAAGAGTTCATTCCAGTTTTTTCCCTTTCTACAACTCCCTTCTGTGACAGTAAGAAATCTGCGTTCATTATCTTGAACTTCTTCCTTATTTGATCAGTCCTCTAGATATAACCAATCTTCTATTCTTGTTGCCACTTCCTCCCTAAGAAGTCTTGTCTCCCTGAATAGGCTCTGACCCCCCAATACAGGTCCCCACTGTTATCAATGGCCTCTTCATTCTTCTTGGGCATTCTTGCACAAGTCCAGTCAACCCCCAGACACATCGTTTCACCTTGCTCAGCTCTGACAGCCCACGCGAGTAAGAAACCAGCAACAGCAGTGATGCCCCGGGCCCCAGCTGAGGGCTGGACCACTCCCCTCCACCACCTGGAAGGTGCCAAGGAGCCCACATGGTGGCCCAGGTGCCGAGATGCTCCCCATCATTCTACCCCGCCTCCCAGGGCCCCCTTGTGGCCTCCCAGCCTCCAGGCTGTGAAATGAAGAGGGGAGCTGGGCAGCACGGGGAGGGGCACGGAGGAGCCCAGGAAGAGGAGGCAGAGGCTGCTGCAACCTACCCCCTGCCGCTGGGTCAGAGGGACCAAGAGCCCTGTCCCTCTGATGGGCAGGCCAGGCTGCTGCCTGCTCTGAGAGCCTGGGGGGGCCACCCCGCCTTCCCGGGCTCTGGTCTCGGCTCGGCCTTCACAGCCACAGGCCCTCACAGCCTTCAGGACTGCGCTCCCCTCCGCACAGTGAGGAGTTTGGCTGGATGGAGGGTGGGGAGGCACCAAGCCACACCTTTCTGGGCACAGCCCGCGTTCTTGGGAGTGCAGCGGCGAGGGTGCCGGCAGGCCCTGGGGCTAGGCTGCTTGGGTTCAAGTTTGGTTTCTTCCCTCCCTGCGGGGTGCCCCCATTTAAGATGTTTAGCCTCTGTGCACCTTCGTTGCTGTGCGGTCTCGCAGCGGTGACCAGCACAGAGGTGACACGCGGTGACGGGGCTAATGGAGGTTTCCACCAGGGGCTCAACGGGGCCCGACACACCGCGAGGGCCGGGGCCCAGGACACCCTGCTCAGGGCAGAGGTAGGAGTCGGAGAGGTGGCCCTGCAGCCCGGACTCTACACTCGGAGCTGGTTCCTTGGCCACCACATGGCCCCTAGTGCCCACTCCGCTCTCACTGTCCAGTGACCATCTGCTTATGTCCCTGACTCCCATCAGAGGCTGGGCCGGCCGTACCTGACGCCCCTCCACAGGCCTGGCCCGAGCCAGGGCCAAGGCCATCCATGGTCACAGAGACTCAGAGAGAGGCTGCAGGCTCGGCCCCCACCCCAACTCCCAGGCAGGCGGGGGGCGGAGAGAAGAGGCAGGAAGAGGTTGTAAGCAGTCACATGTCGGCACAGCCCCTGGAGACAAAGCATCAGTAGTCTCACTGGGCCCCAGCCCCGGTCGCCCCTCGTGGGGCTGGCGGGAAGGGAGGGTTCACTGAGCAGGGCTGGGTTTGGAGGTCACACAGGTGGCCCACAGGCCCGGATGCAGTCCTGAAGGTGAGTGGAGAAGCCTGGAGTCCCCCACTCACCTGGGAGTTGGACCTGGGAGTGGCTGGGGGCTGCTGTCCTGAGGAGCAGGGCAGAGTCCAGCCTTAGGGATGGGTGTCCCAGTACACACAACCCTCCCCCGCCCTCCAAAGCATCCACAGGGGCCCAATGTCATGATGAGGTCTCAGGCGACCAGGAGGCTTCCCCCAGGGCAGTGGTCGGCAAACTGCGGCTCGCGAGCCACATGCAGCTCTTTGGCCCCTTGAGTGTGGCTCTTCCACAAAATACCACATGCGGGCGCGCATGTACAGTGCGATTGAAACTTCGTGGCCCATGCGCAGAAGTTGGTTTTTGGCCTGAGTGAGTCTATTTTGAAGAAGTGGTGTTAGAAGAAGTAGGGGGTGTCTGTCGGCCGGGCGACGGGAGACGAGGCGCAGGGGAGGGGCTCGAGGTTCATGCACAAGTTAAAGATGGGAGAGTTGGAAGGGGTCAATCTCAGCGAACGTACCTGAATCAGATTGAGGACGTTTTTAGCAAAGGCCAGCTTCGGAGGACCCTAATTAAGTTAATAACAATGTACCTATCTATATAGTTTAAGTTTAAAAAATTTGGT